ATGCTAGTAACAAGTTACACTCAGATAATTTTTCAAACCAAGCTTCAGAAACTTTAGGGCAGCAGAGCCAACTAGCTCTCATTGGAAAAGCTCAGTTTTTCTGAAGATTTTTGTTACTTGTAAACATTGTTCCCATTTTCTGAAGTCTTTTATAAAGGGCCTCAAGAGAAATGTAAATGACGATTACACTGAGATTCTCTCTCTCTGGTAGGAGACTGGCAGAGATGCAAAAGCCTGACAACACATTCTGTTGGTAAAGCCATGGGAACAGGACCCACCATCAATAGTGGTGGGAATGCAAAATGGTGTAATCTCTAGAGAGTGGAATTTGGCAATATATAACAGCACAACTGATACATTCACCCTCTGATCCAGCAAATCCACTTTTGGGAACTTAGCCTGAAATCTCTCCTATCTACACATGCACAGCATTAGGTAACTAGCTGATGGGAAACGTTATTAACGGATCAATCCAGCTGACAATGCCAGAACCCACCAACAATCTTCACAGCACAAAGAGACACAACTGAAGTGTGGACCTCCTGAGAGAAGTGCTACCACCACCTACAACACATACTTACCCCCAGAAAAAGGAAAGAAAAAGAAACTGAACTTGAATTAGATGAAGCCTCTCAAACTAATTACAACAGTTTGCATAAACAGTAGGGGACAGAGGAGCATGGTAAATGACACCATGCACATTCAAACAGCAAAATCCAGTGTCAGGCAAACAAATTAGTTTCTTCAACAAATAAATTGTCAGAAGGAAAAAAAAAAAAAGGAGAGAGGAGTAGAGATTAAGAGACACACCAACCAAACTTACTGGGTGGGCTTTGTCTGAACCTGGAGTCAAACAAACTGGAAAAATGGGAAAACTCACTGGAGAAGGGATGATACTAAGAGATTACTATTAAGCTGGATTAACAGGTATTATAGTTATGTTTTCAAAAAGAGTCCCTAACCTTAGGAGAGATATTTATGGATTACATATCATTCTGGGATTTGCTTCAATAAGGCAGTAAGAGCTTGGGGGATGAGGCAGGGTGACAGACAAAACAAGGTTGGCCGTTGTGTGGTTAGTTGTTAAGTCGGGTGAGGGGTACAGGAGGGTTCCACTATACTATTCTCTCTACTTTTGTGTATGTTTGACATTTTCCATCATTAAAAGTTTATATATATTATAGACACACACACGCATGCACACACACACACACGTACATATTCTATCGTTAACCCAGAGACTGTGCTCATGGCCAGCTCCCATCTACAAAAATGAACAACATACACAGACTTCAAAAAAAATACAAAAGGTTCTTTTTTCCTTACTTGGACCCAAGCATAATGATGGATTTCCTTGCTAGCCAGGAAAGTTCACCAAGATAAACAAGTCGAGTTTAAAACATTCTAAGCCACCAAACTCCTGGTGAGGTGCTCTGGAAAAGAATATACCGGATATTCTGGGAAGCAAGAACAGCAGAAAATTTTCTGGTCTCTGCCTTAAATCGATGTTAATAATATCCAAGAAGCCCATTTATGTACAACAGTTCATGTATTATCTGTGCTTAGAGTGAGGATTTTACAGTAGGCATGGAGTAATCACATTAGCAATGCTTACAAAAAGGTTTTCAAAATTTCTCAATAAATAATACCAATCTGCATGATTCGATCCAAACCTAAGAGCCAATCTTCAATACCAGAAAGACCAGGAGGCTGGTTTCTGTCTCATATACAGCCTGCATAACTCAGAGGACGGCTGGCAGATTGTTTTTCACTTGCAAAGAATTCTAAGCATGGCATGAGTGCCCATATTTTCTCTCCTTCCTGTGAGGTTCTGTCACAGAACAGAGTGAACATGTACAGTGACAATGCAGCAGCCGATTAAACACTGCCTCCTGAGGCAGCTCCATCTGGAAAGCTGGGGTGGGTCCCCCAAGACCAAAGCCAGATCCAGAATCTTCCCCCTTGCCACTCCTCAGCCTCACTTCTCAGGGAAGGCATCTCCACAGGCTCTGGCAGGGAGTGAGAATCATCCCCTTGGCAGGGAGCATGTTTACCATCACTGCTCCCACACATGGGCTCTTGCTAAGGAAAGTATAAAGAAAATACAAACAGCACTGGCCCTTCTCTTTGCAGAAGCACAACTCATACTCCACTCCGGCTGCAGGTGTAAAGTCACAACTCTCTCATACTGGATTCTGCTTCCTGTCCAATAAAGCTGGAGAAACTGAGGCCGCCTTTTCCTATTCTTAAAATTATTTCGACTAAAAGAAACGAATTTACTCCCTAGCAATGCCAAGGGGAAGGGGTTTTCTCAGTCACCTGAGCCCCAGCACCTTTTATTTGCCAGAGTGTTCAGTCTTAAGCTGACGTTGCAGTATACCCTTCGTCTTCATGTGAGGAAATGGAGATGGCCGGAGTGATGGAGTCCAGGCAAAGCAACAGGCGCTGGGCCCAGCAATCCCACTACAGAAGCCAGAGCCGGCGGGGAAAGGCGCCAGGCAGGGCTCCCCTCTGAGACTCAGGGGTCCTCTGCGATCACAGAGCTTTCCTGAACCACCTTGAACCCATCACCTTCAGTAGAGCTTCTGCGAGTGAGAATTAAATTAACTGCACCTTGCAGCCCGCCAATGCCTAGCATTAAAAGTGGGTATTATCTGGAGACATCGTGAAGGCTTGGTTCTCTCGGTAATGAGAGAAAGCCAAATGAAAGAAGGAGAACAACCTCTAAGTCAACCAGACAGTCCTAGCAGTCCAGCTTTTTAAAAAAAGTTTTGCTTAAGCAAATCAAGCTTCTTTTTCAATATCAGCTACTGGTTTTGCTGTTTATTTTGTCCATTTGCTATGGTGCTTCCCAATGCCCTGAAACACGTTCTATAATTTTACCCTGTACAGCCTGGACAGCCTCCAGATACTCAGATGCCTGCTAGTGTACTCCTGTGTGTCCTGTGGCTAGGGCTAATTAAAGGAACCCCCAGTGGATCCAAATCACAGAATGCACACACACACACACACACACACACACACACACACACAGGGTAATGGGAGACAAAGCAAAAAGCCGAGAGTAAGGTTAAAAGACTCCAGCCCACACTAAGCATGTGGACGGGCCTACCAAAACCCACCGAGTGGCAAGACTTGCAGGGGGCAGGGCCGTGTCTCAGGGCCAGAGAAAGTCAAGCCCCTCTAGGCAGGACCCAGCTCACCCTCCCATTATGTCTCCCTTGGTGCCTATAATATGCCCTTAAGAAAGAAACGGACAAACCAATCATCTACCAAACCAACCCTGGATGATTAAGAAAGTGAATCTCAACCCAGTGTTAAACAACAGGGTTTGACGTGTCCAGTACTTACCCTTTATATGAGGCTGAGATAATTATGTTTGTCAAACACTCACATTCTTGTATTACCTCCCTACAAAGAGCAATACTGCAGTCACCTTTGACACACTATCATTCCATCTGCACACAGGATGTAAAAGAGTGGCACGCTGCCCACCTTTCCTGAGATTAGTAACCACATGGATCCCTGCCATTGCTGACAGATGACTACGTAGCAGGCACTAGTGCTACCCTCTGGATAATTTAGCCCAATGAGCGCTGTTTATGGATTGAATGTTCGTGTCTTCCCAAAATTCCTATGGTGAGCCCTAACCCCAATGCAATGGTATTTGGAGATAGGGGTCTTTGGGAGGTGATCAGATTTAGATGAGGTCTAAAGTAGAGCTAGAGTGGGGTTCCCATGATGGGATTAGTATCCTTATAAGAAAAGGAAGAGACATCAGAGACCAGAGCTCCCCGCTACCACCACATGAAGACACAGCAAGAGGGCAGCCTTCTGCACGCCAGGAAGCAGGCCCTCACCAGACACTGACTTTGCCAGCGCCTTGATCTTGGACTTCTAGCCTCCAGAACTGTGACAAGTAAATGTCTGCTGTTTAAGCCACCTGGTCTATGCTGTTTTGTTATAGCAGCCTGAGCTAATACAATCCCCACTGACAGATGAGAAAAGCAGGCACAGAAGGTGTGAAGCATATGCCCAAATTCAGCAAGTAAAGCCAGGCTCTGAATGGAGGGAGAATGGACTCTCTACCAACAAGCATTCAGTACCTTTTCTTAAGAAAATTAATTCTTTCAGCCCAACAATATCACCATTTATAAAATAACTTTTGTTCATTGGATTTGCTGACTTAATATAGCTCACAAATAATAAGAAATTCATCCCCAAACTCTTAGTAGGGATAAAGTTCTAATTGTAAAGATGCCAACAGGAGGAAGACCTATAGATCAGACTGTCCAATAGACTGTTTTGTGATAATGGAAATGTTCTGTTATCTGTGCTGTCCAATGTAGTGGCCACTAGCCCAGGGGTTCTCCCCTGGGGGCAAATGTGCCCTCCAGGGAACACTTGGCAATGTCTGCAGACATTTTTGGCTGTCAGAACCGGGTGGGAATGTGCTACCAGCATCTAGGGGGTCAAGGCCACGGATGCTGCTAAACATCCTATGATGCAAAGGACAGCTCCACCACAAAGAGTTATCCGGTCCCAAATGACAATAGCGAGGAGATAGAGAAAATCTGCACCAGCCACATGTGACTACTGAGCATTTCAGATGTGGCTTCTAAGAGTTAGGGACTACATTTTTTATTTTATTTAATTTCAATTAATTTAAATGTTAGAATAAAAAACTTAAGAGACTAAAACTAACAAAACTGGAATTCAAATTTAAACAGCCATGTGTGTCTTGGACAGTGCAGCTATCGAGAATGTGCATAAATATAAAACAAAGGTCTTTTTTCCCAAGTATTTGCATTTAAAGAAGTAAGTATCTTCAAGGAAAAGAGAGATTCTGATTCGTAGGACCGGGAAACCGTGAGCGTAAATGAAAGCACAGAAGCGGACATCCATGAAGCTTTAGGACACATGTCCAGGCACCAAACAGGTCAGCACAAAAGGAAATCAGCACAGGGAAGATCCCCCTTCTAGAAACGCAGGCCACTCACTCTTGCAGCGTCTCCACCCCCTTTTCTTTGTACTGCAGTTCTTGCTTCATCTGGGTCAGCTCTCGTTTTAATCTGGAAAGCTAAAGACACATTACATTTTTTTTCCCAAAAAAAAGCTGTGAAAAATTATGTCTACAGTTTTTTTTTAATAATTTTATTTATTTATTTTTCCCCCAAAGCCCCAGTAGATAGTTGTATGTCATAGCTGCACATCCGTCTAGTTGCTGTATGTGGGACGCGGCCTCAGCATGGCCGGAGAAGCAGTGCGTTGGTGCGCGCCCGGGATCCGAACCCGGGCCGCCAGCAGTGGAGTGTGCGCACTTAACCGTTAAGCCATGGGGCCGGCCCAATGTCTACAGTTGTTAACACTGTCATCTAAGTTTCTCATTAGCTTGCAATTCACTGGATCATCTATTCTCCCCGTGAACAGGCATATAAAACAGCCATCCTAGAAGAACTGCCTTGCTTAGATACAAAAACCCAGACCACTAACAGGTTCCTACCCATGTGGAACTGTGGAACTAGCAACTATTTTCTTTTTCAAGGTACTGATTTATGCATTACAGTCATGCGCCGCATAACATTTTGGTCAACGACGGCCCATGTCTACAACAGTGGTCCCATAAGGTTAGTACCATATAGCCTAAGTGTGTAGTAGGCTATACCATCTAGGTTTGTGTGAGTACACGCTACGATGTTCGCACAATGACAAAATCCCCTAACGATGCATTTCTCAGAATGTGTCCCCATCGTAAGCAATGCATGACTGTACAATTAGCAAACTTCATAATACTCTTTTCATCTTCCTTTCTACTTACCACTCATAGATCCCACACATGAAACATTGTCGCTAAAAGAGTGGTCTCCAACTACCTGAAACTCCACCGTCTGGAGTGCTCATTTAAACAGATTCTGGGACCAGCTCCAGGCCTGTGTTAAAACTCAGGGGGTGGGCCTGGGAGCTCACACTTTTAACCAACTCCCCAGGTGTTTTCTTAGGTGCATTAGAATTTGAGAACCACTGCACTAAAAGATATACTCTGGGGGCTGGCCCCGTGGCGTAGTGATCAAGTGCGCACGCTCTGCTGCTGGCGGCCTGGGTTCAGATCCCAGGTGCACACTGATGCATTGCTTGTCAGGTCACGCTGTGGCAGCGTCCCATATAAAGTGGAGGAAGATGGGCACGGATGTTAGCCCAGGGCCAGTCTTCTTCAGCAAAAAAAGAGGAGGACTGGTGTGGATGTTATCTCAGGGCTGATCTTCCTCACCAAAAAAAAAAAAAAAAAAAGATATACTCTGGTTGAGGCAATGAGACACCAGAACAGGAGGATTCATGTGTAAGATGTCTCCTGTGCTTTGCAGCAAATGCAACAAAACTGTCCCCCTTCCCAGATAACCAAGACAGGGGGCTGAAGGGGTGAAATAAGGTGGCACAGAAAGAATTCTGGCATCATCGGGGAAGGAGCATCGGAACCTTCTGGTCAAACACCATTGCAAGAAAGACTTCTCTAGGAATACAGCAACCAGGGGAGCGCAGCAGATGCTAAAGCTGCCAAGAGTCAAGGCTGGCATCCCAGTAATATAGGGAAGTAGCCTTTGAGGTCAGGCCCCGATGTCACCAGATCTTCCCAAATCGGGGGGAGTCAAGCTCCATGAAATACACAGAGGGATACAGGCGATATTTTGTTAGATGGGCTGAGGTTTTTAAATGCAACTTTTTCCCTCCTATTGGAAAAAAAAGTAAAAAAAAAAAAAGTAAAACTAAATGAAATAATAATCCATAAAATAAAAAATCTTACTAAAACATGAGTGTTAGACACACTGACCACCATAAAATGACCCACGATAAGTGATGTTACATAAAAATATACATGCGGCTTCTAGTTGTGAAAACACTCGTTTTACTCACCCTATCCCGACGACTTGCAATTTCTGCTTTAATTTGGTGTGGGTCGTACTTTGTATTTGTGGAATATCCAGAGAAAGCTAAATAGAAGGAAAATATTTTATTTTATAATGGATCCTTTAAAATAAATAAATACACATAGACAGGAACTTTTGGTTCACCATATTAAATAATTAATTCTAAGTCTCAGATTTACAAATTGGCACTGGCTCCTAAAGAATTAACATTTCACAACCTCAACTCTTGATGTCTCATTTTTGCATGAGGCCTTTCTACATGATTCCACATAATAAAACATGTGGCTGTAGATAAATGAAAACTGTTTACTTTGACTGCAAAACTACTAGGGTTAAAAATCATATATACCTGGTGCAGGGTATGATTATGGTGTGGAAAACTGCTCTTACTATGTAAATAGTACACACAGTATGAATCCATTTTTACTTTCTTTTAAAATGCACACACGGAAGTCACTGGAAGGATAGAACCAAAAAGTTAACTGTGGTTATTCTCAATGGTTTCATTACAAAAGTTTTTTTTTTATTTTCTTCATATTTATATTCTCCAGATGAACAATTTTTGACATAAGAAAGAAAAAAATACTAAAGATTTGTAAAATGAAAAAGACAACTTTCTAGTAATGTGGCAGTATCTGGCAGGCTTGAGGAAAAAGTTATTCTTCCAAGTTGTTTGTGCCATGCAAACGGAAGTGAAGCACCCACACTTTTATTCTAGTAGCTTGTTTGTGATGGATGTTTAACTAAAACACAGCACATAGCTAAATGCTTTCTTCAACAGTGCACATGATTTAAAGTCTTTGTACAGACACAGCATCATTATTATGAACAGCCAATACCTGGGGGTGGATAAGACAGGAAGAGTGGTTTATCTGTGTGCTAAGCACAGTTAGCCAATTTCTGTCTGCAGAGAAAGAGGCAAGCCTTTTCTGGTGTTTCAACAGCTGGAGCAGCTAGTGGCCATTTCTAATTTCTATCATCCCATTCACCTCTTTCCACTGCTTTTCTTGATGCTTCTGTCTCCTTTCTCTTAGGCTTCTGAAGCCATCGGCTCTTGTACTGCAGTGACGTGGTTTCTAGCCCTTCCAGTGCTGGTGGAGTGCTCCTTTGTCTTCATCTGTGAGTCACCCCACACTGGTATAATCTGCCTCTGGGTCATTTTCATTAACTTCACCTGCTCAGAAGACCCATCTGCAGGGTCAGCATCCTTTCTTTTACTCCTTTGATCTGGGTACTGAAGGCTGACTATCATTCAGGTAACTTCGGTGCCAACACCAAGAAAGTAGCTCAAAATCATTTCCTAACTTTATATGGGAAAGGATGGCTCAAAGCCATCAAGTGGCTTAAACAGCAAGATTATTTAATGGCCTCAACTAGAACCACATCCAAAGTTAATTTGAGCAGTTCACATATCTCCTTTTTTAAAAACAGTTCTATGGAAAATCTACTATTTAAACCCCCATCAGTCAGAATTTCAAACCACTAGATTCTACTAGAAATAAATTTCTATTTATTAGCTCTAGGAGGAGCTAAGTGTTTGCCAACTTTATCTGAAATGTACTTATATTTAGAGTCATAATGTCTTGAAAACATGGAATAAAATGTTTTTAAAATAGAATTCTTTCTTAGATGAAGAACGTCTATCTCCAAATCCTACAACTTCATCTTGTCTGACTCTTTGGTTTCATTTAAGATCAATAATGAAAGCAACACGTCAAACAATGCCCTTAAGAGGCAGAACTCATTTCTATAACATCTCCACATTAAACTCCTGGGACTTAAAAGTTTCTCAGACCTGAGCTTAATGGGCTTCCACTTGGGACCCAGATAATACGGAAATGAGTCTAGGACTTGCTGACTCCTCACTTCCCCGTGTGTCAACTTGTCTTGCAGTTGAAAAAGACAATGCCAACAGTTATCACCTGGGATCTTTTCCATTGGGGTAGAAAGTAACCCCACCACCAAAGTCCAGGGAAGTTAACTGCAGTGTTAAACATCAGTAACAAAGATCCGAAATTGTTGCTACAAAATCTTCCTGTCTGTGCAATTTCATAGGGAAAATTGGCAAAGAGACTTGAAATGCATATGGGAGGTGCAGTAGGTACAGTTTGACAAATACACAGCAACCTGTCCCCCAGCTCTCCTTCCTAACTAACAGAACCCCGAGGTTGTCGGGCATCCACCTCCCTCCACCAGGAGACTCTGCATGTATCCAGTCCTGGAGGGGAGTCTGATAAACCAGGACATCACTGAACCACCGAATCCACGAACGGGAGGCCCACCCCACCTCGGAGGACTGTTATGTGACAATGGATTTCCTTACTGTCCAGGCCCGTGGGAGTCAGTCTTTCTGTTACTTACAGCTGAAACCATCCTAAATGTTAGTAGAGGTTTTCCTTATACTGATACCATTCATGCTACCTTTGCTATGGTCTCTAAAATTAGAAAATTCCAGGACTGGGATGAGGGAAAAGGTACCTCAAGTACCTAAGACAGTGAGTACATTTTATCTTCAAATGCTCAGGAGAGCTGTGAACACTGGCATAACTTTTAATAATATAATTCAATTTACACACATTCTCAATTCCTTATGTCTGCTGGTAAGTCTAATAGAACCCATTTCTGGAGTCCAAGGAATAGCTCAGGACTCCAGACCCTATTTTTAACAGCATGTGCTCTACAACATTTAGAAAAAGAAATATCTTCCTCTGTTAAGACATGTCTCCAATCTCAAGGTTGACAATAAATACCAGACTTTCACCTCTGAAGCCTTCTTCTCTCTTGAAGAGTTAAGTGGGCAGAACTATTAAATAGCTTAAGGAATCTGCTCAGGCATACACTATTGCTTTGGATGACATAATAAGGTTTTAGTTTAGCTGAACCACAACAATGTAAATTATTATACCTTGCTATTATAGGGTGCTTTTCACATTTATTTCATCTATTCTCACAAAACCTTTGTGAGAGACCATGATTGTGTTTCCCCACTTGATACACTAAAGACTGAGTTTGTAGTCACTTGATCCACACTAGGCCATCAGTCATAGAGAGACTTGCATCTAGAACTTGGGCTCTTGTAGGTCAGCTGCCCAGCATTCTTTAATCAGATTAGCTTTTCCAGTGCAAGAAGGAATGGCCCTCCGGCTCCCCAATGCCCATCGCCCAATAGGTGAGTTTGACCTGTGTATTTAGCACTCAAAATGCTACAGACCCTAGTACTTATCTTGGATTCCAATTTTACAAGTTATTGAAAGGGGGAAATGTGTGTGTCCGTGTGTCTGTCTGTCTCTGTCTCTCTTACACACAGGCCTCCTCTGTACTGTGAGAATCTAAGATCACCCCAGGGGGATGATACGTTTTAAAAGACCAGTAGTCCTTCTCCAAAGACATCCTCCAGGCAGATTGCTCCTTAGGACCAGGTGTGCATCTCCAGGCGTCAGCACTATAGGGAGTTGCTGAAGGGAGCCAAGGAGACTCTGGCAGAAAGGACGGCAAGCCCTGACAGTTTCCATGCTAACAGGTACTAATTACCAGAGCAGTAACAAAAGCGCACCCATAAATAACCGAGGCCAACAAAGGAGGGCATGACATTTTTATAAAGGCACCATAAGCAAAGGACCAAAAAAATCAAGCCCACTCAGGGGTGACCTACAGAAGTAATGCAAGAAGCCACCAAACCCAAACCAAGAATTCTCTCTCTAGGACATACAAGGAAATTCTCTCTCGGTAGACATGTGTGCTCTGCTACAACCTACAAGACTCAGTCTTGCCAACTAATACCTGTGAAAAATGCTGCGTGATCCATTTTTCTCCTGCCTGCTCCAACATGCTTCCATGTAGGAAAACAAAAGGCTGAATGAACGGACTGTGGCCCTTATCCTAACCTAGATAGTAGATGAGAAATCCTTTAAGGGAGAACCAATGGAAGACAGTCTTTGTGGGATGGGCTTGGAGCCTCAGAAAGAATGTTGGCAGGACTGATGACTGATAAGGTCAAGCTTTACCACCACCTAACCCAGGAATTCAGGGTGGGTCAGCACTTTCTCACAGGAGATAAGGCCAACTCATTCCCAGCCACCCAAAGAGACTTTTGGTATAGACTTCTGGTAGCTCCTAGGAGCCAGGGTAATAAATAAAGTCATATTCCTGCTGCGAGAAGAGACAGTCACAGTCAATCTAGACTAGTGGATCTCAACTCTGGGAGCTTTAAAAAAAAAAAAAGTCTGACCCCACCCAAAGCCAATTAAATCAAAATCTCTCGGCGTGGGGCCCAGGCAGCAGTAGTTTGTAAAAGCCCTTTATGAGATTCTTATGGCCATCCAGGGTTGTGAACTACTGGTGTAGAACAGGCGTTGGGAAATTTTTTTCTGCAAAGGGCCAGACAGTAAATATTTTTGGCTTTGTGGGCTACAGTCTCTGTGTCAACTCTTCAACTCTGCTGTTATACTGCTACGGACAACAGACAAGTGAATGGAAGTAGCTGTGTTCCTATAAAACTCTATTTACAAACACCCAGAGGGAACAAGATTTAGCCCGTGGGCTGTGGATGTGTTACAATAAAACTTTATTTACAAACACCCAGAGTGGACAGAATTTAGCCCCTGGGCCATACATAATTTGCTGACCTGCGGTTCAAACTATAATTTACACCATGTTTCCAAAAGATCCTGCAAATGGTCATATACTTCATCTGAAGACATCTGGAGGCTAGAGTTTCTCAAGTAGAATGAAAGAGTAACTCCAAAAAAAAAAGTTTCTGAAATAATGAATGCATTCAGTGTTAAAAGGAAGGCAAACAGAAGAATATATTAGGATGAAAAAAGTAGGAGAAAATTCTACAAAATGGAGCTGTAGAAAAAGTACCAGGTGTGTCTTAGGGAGAATGAGTCCACTGTAAAGCAGTTCCATCCCAGTGTTCTACAAAGCATAAAACAGGACTGGGTCTCAGGCAGCTAACTCATAAGCTCACACAAATAAAGTTGGGGTCTTAGTCTCATGGGAATACATGTGCTCAAATTCAGCAAAGCATCTGAGTTTGCTTTGGTCAGGGACAAAAAAGGTCAAGGCTTAGACATTCTTAGATACCAGAGGGCCCAATACTGACACAAAATCTATCCTCTCCAATGAGTGGAGTTTTATTCTGGTGATTTCCATAACTCAGGGGGAAATCTGTGAGGGGTATGGGTGAGACGCACTTCTTTCCGAAAAGAGAGGAGGGAACACTTCCCAATTCATTCTGTGAGGCCAGTATTGTCCTGATACCAAAATCAGAGAAAGATATTACAAGAAAAGAAAATTTTGGAGATAAGAAACTAGCCTCTAAAAATTAGCACTGAGCCGACCTGTCGCATTCTGATGGACAATTAAAAAAACAAAAAACAAAAAAATCTGTACATACCGGTATCTGAAGTATAACAGATAAGACAACCTGGAAACAACATACCACTATACCTGAGTCCCTACATTCTCATAAGGCATGTGGTAATAGAACTATCTTAAATTCCTGTTAGAGGGGAAACCCCACCTCTCTCTTCTCCACAGCTTGTATGGCTTATTCACCTTCTATGGCAGCTACAATAAAAAAGACATATGGCCCCTTGGCCTTAACTTCATTCTGACTTGCAACACAGAATAAAGCTTTGACCATGTCTTTAATGTTCAAAACTGGGTCACCAGAGCCAAATACCTGGCAACATGGCAGTCTTGTCACAGGTAAGTCCTTCTATGTCTCAACTAGACTTAGGTTGTTTTTTGGTTTTTTTTTTTTTAGTGAGAAAGATTCCCCCTGAGCTAACATCTGTTGCCAACCTTCCTCTTTATGCTTGAGGAAGATACGCTCTGACCTAACATCTGTGCCAATCTTCGTCTAATTTGTATGTGGGTTGCTGCCACAGCGTGGCTGCTGACGAGTGGTGTAGGTCTGCACCCAGGGAACTCAACCCAGGCGACTGAAGCAGAGTGCGTGGAACTTAACCAGTAGGCCACAGGGCCGGCCCCAAGACTTAGGTTTTTATAAAATAAAACCTAGTGGCAGCAACTTCATACATTCTCCCCGAGCTCACTGGCACCCAGCACAGCTGTGGCCATGTGCACCTGTGGTGGGCTATTAAGTGTGACAACTCTGTTGGGAAGGGTCTGACTCAAGCAGTGGCTAACTGTGTCAGTAACAAAATGCTTTGGCTTCTGAGACTGGACCTGGTTCCTTCAATACCTGAACAGATGCTGAGTACTAATGAAATGGGAGCCCACCTCTGGCAGCCTCCGAAAGTAAGAGGGATTCCCTTTAAGAACATTAGCATGTGTCCATCTAACTTGAGGGGCAGAAAGAGATTCCCCCGATTCTCGGGGTTATGCTGAGTTACTCTGCCTTCAGTGTGCTGCCCAAGAGAGGACTCCACAAAGAGATAGATGCTTGACATGTGTGAAGGCTTCTGAACCTTTCCATCTAGGATCAATGAAACCGCTGTTTGGATTTCCCAAGGATCACCCCAGACAAGCAGTATTAACTACAGAGGTCTCTGGGTAAAGCCCTTTTCCACACTGACCAACATGAGACACGAGGTTGTTCCATGTCACCAACTGAAATTTGCTTGTTTATTTTCTACCCTCCCCACCTGACTGTAAGCTCCAGGAGGGCAGGGACCTTTCCTGTCTTAGTCTCCACCCTATCACAGTGCCTGGGCACAAGGCAGGCCTTGATAAATACTTGCTAAAGGAGCGGGTACCAGATGACCATCTGATTTCAGTGCAGAATACTGACTACCTAACAGTATGTAATTAGAAACTTGATGAGGACGTCTTGCCTGAGTCAAGTACAGTGTTTGCACATAACCTAGCAGAGAGATGGCTTTTCAAGTCACGCGTGTTAACCGTAGGTGACAGTCAACTCACAGCTGGCGTATGAGCGGCTGTCGTCCTCACACATCTTGTGCAGCTGCTGGTACTCCTCCTGAGCCAGCTCGAACCGCTGCTGCTTAATCTGGTAGATTTCTTTCTTGGCATTGAGAGCCTCCTGGGCTACAATTAAATATTCCTTCAGCATCCGTTCCTGCTCTCGCCTCCACTGTTCTCTGGGATCCTCAATCTGGGTAAGCTCTGAAATTAAAAGGGTAAAAGTGTAAGTGATTTAAAAGTAAAATCTTTAGGTTGACCAACAGTCATGCAATTATGTGACTAGTCGATATGAAAATTAATTAATCACCAGGATGCACATTATGGAAGCATCTACATAACGAACCTTCCTAAAGTGTGGAACATCTTCTATTTTTATATCCACAGTTAAAATGAGGAGAAAACTCTATAGATATGAAATAGTTCACTGGAAGGGGGAAGACAATACCAGACAATTTTTCACACTGTAAATAAATGCTGGCAGAGCCAAACCCAAATGAGCTCGTCACTGTCAAACTGACAGGTATTTTCAAGCTTCTTCTCACTGACTTCTTTTTTTGTGAGGAAGATCAGCCCTGAGCTAACATCCATGCTAATCCTCCTCTTTTTGCTGAGGAAGACCGGCTCTGAGCTAACATCTATTGCCAATCCTCCTCCTTTTTTCTCCCCCAAAGCCCCAGTAGATAGTTGTATGTCATAGCTGCACATCCTTCTAGTTGCTGTATGTCGGATGCCGCTTCAGCATGGCCGGAGAAGCGGTGCGTCGGTGCGCGCCCGGGATCCGAACCCGGGCTGCCAGTAGCGGAGCGCACGCACTTAACCGCTAAGCCACGCGGCCGGCCCTCACTGACTTCTTTAACTCGGGATGCCATCAGCTCTGCTGTCCTCTGATGGACTTGCTCCCCCTCTCCTTTCACCTCCCACATCAGACTGTGCAGTCTTTTTGCATTCTTCATGGACTTCCTTGCCTCTTCCCATCATAAATTCCCCCATTTTCCACTCCGGCTTTCTCACCCTACGAGCTCCGGTAAGGGCTCAGGCCTACCTCTAGCTCCAACCTCTCTCCTGAGAGCCCATCTTTTCTTTCCGACTGCCTCATAGATACAGCTCCACCTGGACAGACCCAAAGGAATTCTGAGTCATTCATCCACAGCACAACTCATTCTCACACAGCGCCCTTTCACTACCAAAACCGAAACCAAACCAAACCACCACACAACAACAAACGCCTTCCCCCTCCAAGAGAGCAGCATCATCCGGATCTACCCACTTAGCCAACTCGGGAATCCAACCTGGGACTCATCCTCAGAGAACTCCTGCTTTTCTCCCTCACCCAGAATATTCCGTGGGTCATCAAGAACTAGTGATTCCTGCCCCTAGATATAATAATGACTGATGACATACCCTTCTCTCCATCTCCCTTAGTCCAATCAGCCCCTCATGATCTCTCTCCAAAAACACCCAGGTTTCCTCTCTCATCCCACCAAAAGCCATCCTCAGTGCACTCACCAAAGGCACCTTCCTAACTCTGCTTGCAATTCTTTACCACGTGAACCTCCTTTAAAGCACAAAGTCCGATCTCCTCCGCCTGATACATGAGTCCCAAAACTAACTTGCCAGCTTCATTTCTAGTCTCTGTCCTTTTCCCCACAAACAGCCTCTAAACAGACTGAATTTTTCCAAAGTCCACATCTTTGGAAATGCTCATCTGTGCATTTGTTTCTGCTGCTTCTGTCCTCTTCTGTCCACAGGAAACTTTACCATCTTCCAAGTCCCTTTGCAAAGGCACCCAGTTTTTGAAGCCTTCTCTGCCCCTCCAAGCACCTACGTCTCTATTCAGTGGCTAGGACTGCTGTTCTTACCATTTACCACTTGGCACATAATTGTTTTTGAATTTGTTTCCTACCTAAACTATGAGCCCTTACAAGGCAGGTGCACAGCTTCAGTCACCTTTATAGTCTCAGGACGTTTCATTCGTCTGAAACTCAGAAGGCAATCAATAATTGTTGACTGCAGCCTCATTGAATGAGGAACAGAAGAGGCACTCTGCTCCACAGACAGAGGACTAGGGTCCTGAAATCAGGTCCTTAGACTGAGGGGGCGAAGCAAGCAAATGGGCAAGACATCCAGACTCAGGAAAGGCGACCCTCCTTCATTGCAACAAATCTCCTAGTGGAGATTTCAAAAGAAGTGCCACCCTAAATGAAGTAAAAAATGGAAAGTGGTGTCCCTGTTCCAAATTTAGAGACCCCAGGCTCCGGTGGCTCCATTATAATGATGACATATTGGTAAATATATGCAGGCTGCTGGCAGCCAAAACAAAATAAGGGAGAGTTCATAGGAGGGGAATGCTGATAAAATCCCCCCACCCAAATCCTAAATAAATATGCAAATTATTCTTTTAAAGTGTGCTTGAGCAGCACTATCACAACAGCCAAAAGGTGGAAACAACCTGAATTCCATCAACTGATGGCAAAATAAAATGTGGTCTATCCATACAATGCCATCATATTCAGCCACAAAGGAAATAAAGTATTGATACACGTGACAACACGGATGGACCTCAAAAACATCATGCTGAGTCAAAGAAGTCAGACACCAAAGGTCACATACTGTATGACTCCATTTAGACGAAATGTCCAGAATAGGCAAGTCCAGAGAGACGGAAAGGAGATTCATGGTTTCCCAGGGGCTGAGGGACTGGAGGGGAAGGAGGAGTGACTGCTAATGGGTTCGAGGTTTTACCTTGTGGTGATGAAACATTCTGGAACTAGACAGAGGTGGTGGTTGTACAACACTGTCAGTGCACCAAGTGCCAGTGAACTGTACATTTTAAAATGGTTAATTTTATCTTCTGTGCATTTCACCTCAGAATGGTTAAAAATGTAAATTTCATGTCATGTTCACTTTACCACATACACAAAAAAGAGTGCCTGCTAAGATGTTTCCATTAAGTTCTCCCTTTCAAACCTCCTCCCGCCAACATCCCCTACCCCCCCTTCACACTGCCACCCCAGGGCCCGTCCTAGAAAGCCTTTCCAGGCCTTAAAAGCTCACATGGGGAAATAAGCAACCAAACGCAGCAACAAAACTCAGGCTCCTGCCAGAGCCCGGGGGGTCACTTTCACTGGGCCTGGAGCAGGGCAGGGCGGGGCTCCTGCAGTTTTTAACTGGCTGGATGTCACTGTCATTTATTCCGCACTGAGACCCGTAGTGCCCGACCCGCATTGTTCACACTCTGTCCACTGCAACGGAGGGTCTCAGGAACCTCGAAGGTGGTCAACCCAGGGGCCCTCGGGTCCCTCACACCACCGTTGACCTGCACAGTTCCAATTTGACATTTGACTTCTCAGGTTCTGTGCCTTTAAAGATTTTTAAAGCTGTGCTATCAAGAGCTGGGTTCTCGGGAGCAAGTTTTCTGAAATGGGATCTTTGGCCCCCTATGTACAAATTATTAGAATAACCTTTCCTCTTCCTGCAAAAAAAAAAAAAAAAAGACTTGGCTTCTCTGAAGGTCTCAGAGGGAGGAGGTGGTGTGACCCTGGAGCTGATGTCTTCACCCACGTCCCCATGGTGCTGGGTCATCCCAGTTATACTCAAGTGGGCGGAAGAAAGTCCTTGGTGATTACTCAGTTTTAGGGTTCATGGCCATGTCTAGAGTGTCATGACGAATCCCTGAGGGTGGAGACTGAGTCTCACTTTCCTGTGTCCCCAGGGCCTAAAGAGTGGCCAGCACAGAGAGGTGCTCTATAACACTTGCTGTGACTCAGCAAGTAAGCAAGTAAGGAAGCCCCACAGCAAAGGGGGCATGCAGGGATGAGCAAGTTGGGTTTACAGAGAGATGAGCCAGAATGGGTCCTGGGCCTCCGCAGCAGGCAGGCGGGCAGACTTTCCAGAAAGGTTGTGTAAGGCAGATGCCTATGCTGGTCAGTAATACCACCTGAGCCCAGGGAGGCGAAAGGGTGGTGAGGAAACCGTGGTGCACGTGTGCCCAGGCCCACAGCGCTCACCTGTGGGGGCGGCCCACCAGTAGCTGGGAAGGTGAGCTCAGATGGCCAGACACCCCAAACACACAAAGACATGAGGCGCTGGGTCAGCTGGGCCGCGGGGAGGGCTGCCCTCAGCCAGAGCCTCACTAAGCACCATGCCCTGTCCAATGGGTGGTGGCTCCCCCTAAAAGCCCTCTTGCCATCTGGATCACTGCCTGGGAAGGCAGTGGGGCCAGAGCAGTATTTACCCCCCATTGCCCAATCCTTGGGCAAGAGCTGCAATCCTTGGGTGAGTGTGAGGCTGAGTGCCACGTGTCAAAAACCCCACTGCCCTGGGACTGACATAGGAAGCTTCAACTTTCAAGTTTCCAAATGCTGCACTTGGGAGGGCAGCAAGTGACAATGTGGGAATAGGCCCTAAAGACAAGAACCTGGGTTGATCACACTAAGGGGACATAAGGAGCCGTGAGACTGGAGCAGGGAAAGAGCTGTGAAGGCACTCATGTGGTAGGCATCGTATATCTTCAGGCCCTCCCAGCCTCCCCGCACCTAAGAAATCGAAGGATGGAAAACATGCTGAGGGAAGCCATGCTCATGTCTCCAGTAGTAAAAAACGACAATGACAGAAACACTGAGGGCAGCTGGGATGAAAATGGGGGGGAGAGAGAGAGAGAGAGTGTGAATCTGAGAGAGAAATGTGTCCCCAGCTGGTACCTGATTGAGGAGGGCAGATGAAGGGGCAGAAAGCCAAGAGTGAGGGGTGGAGACAGATCTAGAATGCAACGGAGCCTGTGAGCCAGGGTGTGTCAACTTTGGCACCACGACATTAGGGGTCGGCTCATTCTTTGTTATGGAGCGATGCAGCGCACTGCAGGAAGTTTAGCAGCATCCCTGGTCTCCACCCAGTAGATGCCAGCAGCAGCCCCCAGGCGTGATAATCGAAAATACCTCCAGACATTACCAACTGTTCTGGGAGACACAATCAGCCCTGGTGAGAACCACTGCTCGAAACAGCTCTACAAAGAAGGCTGGCGTGGTCAAGGACCCGTTATTTTAGCTGTAGTCTTTACATCACTTTCTCCCTTCACAAAGAAGGTTTAGCGTATTCAAGTTAAAATTAAATGTATAAGAAAATGAAGGTAAGGTAACCACTTGCATTTATTGTTTCAGGAAGTTGTAAGTTCCACTTTGCAATAAGCAACCTTCTCATTATGAAAGACATTTCTATTTCTAGACTGCCTGGGAAATGTATTCCTTATATTAGACATTAAAACCCTCCATTAAACATATTCCACACAGTTCCGAGCAACACACAAGCAAGGCAGCTACATAACTGCTTCACTCTTTGAAGAACTCAGCTAACGAAAACTTAAGATTACATTTATAAAATCCAGTTTAATGCTGTGTTGGACAGGAAGAATTGTTGCGCTCTATAAAGAGTTTTTAGTATCTCTGAGATCAACATGAAAACTCATTCACACATAACTCAAATGTGGCACTCTACTTACTATTTATGTGGTCCATGTAATAAATTCCAATTTGTTTATCATATACAGTTTCCCATCCTAAAGGGAGTTCATCCCCAACACAATCGGCAAAGGTCAACGGCTTTGTTATCCTGCAAAATAAAATTATGAAAGCAAATTTGAAAGTCAGGTCAATTTCGTATAAATTTGCTGAAATGACTCTAGAATTAGGTTTTAATACAAAATTATATATTATCTTGTCTAATTGACTGCTTTGGCTCCAACTATTTGGTTGGAAAATTAATTCACCGTCTTTGCCTAAATAATAATCAGTAACGATATCAGTACGCTCACAGTTAAAAGCATTACTTTCTCAAAGTACAACTTTAAATATCCGGCAAAAAGAGACATTGACAGCTACAAAACAGGTAAAACCAGCATCTTCTTCCAAGCGGTATGTTTTATGAGGTGATGACAATGGAATGTGGCTCGGCTCTTCCACAAGAATAGGAGAGCACTGTGTTTTGTTTGCATTCCCTGACAAATGCTCCCCCCTCGCAACTTTCAGTTTCCGTGCATTACAGCTTAAATCTATCTAAAATGTATTTGTAAGATTCATCTAGCAGTGTTCATAAGTTAAGGAGTTAAACACTAATCACTGACCAAATGCAAAAAGCCAAACAACCACGGTAACACTACAAGGAGATGCCTACTAAATACTGCCTGTATTCCTTATACAGTAGGAATCAGAAATTGCAAAGGGTCTTTTTGGTTTTCAGGAGAAAAACAACAAACGCACATTGTCTACAGAGCTCTCTCCTTGAAACACATCTGATTAAGGAAACCTTGGCTTGACACAGATAGATAGATAAAGGGGTTTCCAGATGGGGTTCTTTAAGTAGAACTCCCCTCTCCTCCATGCCCCATGATCATGATGATTGACAAGACAGCTGTTGTATAAAACGGGCCACACCTATAATTGTCTGAGTCTGGGCAGCTATCTCTTTGGTTCTCTCTATAAATGCACACTGACTGGTATGCATGGGAATCCAATAACCTAAATTTCACTAACTCAATCCTCCCATATCTTCTGTTCAAGTCCCTGGCCCCAGGAAAGTGAGATACCACAACCATGGCCAAACCTTCCAAGACCAGTATGAATTTTGAACATGTTATTTTCCCAAACTGGTTCGACAACAAGGCTCTGTCTCTCCCAGTAGCATTTAGAAACTGATAAACACCACCAGAATGGCACTGATTGTGATTCATCTTCATTTTAAACATGGTTTTAAGAAGCTAGAGTCAATATTAAAACAGAAATACACAGAAGGGAAAATATGCCATGGATATCCTCCCAGACAGGATGTACTCAAAAACTCACAACGGGCCAGCCCGGTGGTGCAGCAGTTAAGTGCGCGTGCTCTGCTTCAGTGGCCCGGGGCTCGCAGGTTCGGATCCCGGGCGCGCACCGACGCACCGCTTGTCAGGCCATGCTGTGGCGGCATCCCATATAAAGTAGAGGAAGATGGGCACAGATGTTAGCCCAGGGCCAGTCTTCCTCAGCAAAAAAGAGGAGGATTGGCATCCGATGTTAGCTCAGGGCTCCCCCCAAAAAAAAAAAAAAAAAAACTCACAACATCACAAGATGAGCCTATCGCAGGCCATCTGTCCCATCCCGCAACACCAACGTCCGCAGCACGATTCCCTTACAGGTCGGGAATGTGTGACAGTGATGTGGTTCCAAGTCAAGCAGGTAACTTACGGCAGGGTGTTGTGCATGATCCAAGTCCTGAATGGGACCAAACCACCACAAAAACAATGCTACTTGAAGATAAGTTGAGTCCTGAGCACCTCTCTGCTATTCTAGATTCCTAGAGAAAAATGCCCAAGCACAGGCTCGTTCTAAGCACATTTACATACATGATCCCATTTAATCAACAAATGTAGGTGGGAAATCTGACCTTATAGCTCTGCTGAGCCCAGTTCACTTACTGTACAATTCAGAACTGTTATAAAACTATCATAAGTTCATATTTTTCAATTTTCTAGCCAATAAACAATGTAGGTAATTATAACATTTCCATGCTCCTTGTTCCAAAAATAAACAAAGTGATACGTCTATCATTTTGGTGAATTTTCTTTTGGAATCCATATGTCTCTGATTCCACTTCCTTTCTAAACAAAGCATGGAGTTTGCACCATCATTCACAGAATCAGACCTTCGAAGTAAGCCAATGAGGAGTCATGCATCTAAGTCCAGCTGACGCCAAGAGCAAGGTCTTTGCACCCACAGAGAAGTTATCAAGTCCTTGCTGTTGATCTCATCAGTCCACAGGGCCATGCTTTGAGCCCATTTACTCACTGACAGCAGTGTGAACAGGCTCAATGATGAAGTTTTCCAGCTCCCGAAAGACAGAAGTGGTCAACTAGAAGGCAAGGACAGGGATCCCTTGGGCAGGCAGAATACAGCAAACGCGGCAGCTAACAGCAGGGAGAAGCACATAAACTCACTCACTAGATGCACCCATTACACTGTGAAACACACTGACCTGCAGCAGGACACCCACGGCAGCCAGCTTCTAAGATGGCTCCCAATGCTTCCTGCTTCCTGGTGTTTCCGTCCTCATGTAGTCCCCTCCCACACTAAATAGGGCTGAGCTGTGCAACCAACAGGATATTGTAGAAATGAGGGTGTATGGCCTCCGAGGTGAAGTCATAAAAGTCACTGTGTTTCCACCTCGTTCTCTCGCATTGCTGGCTCTAGAGGAAACCAGCAGCCATGTTATGAGGTCATTCAAGCAGTCCAAGGGAAAGACCCATATAGAGAAGAACTGAGGCCTCTTGCCAACAGCCAGCACCAACTTGCCAGCCATGAGCGAACCACCTTGCAAGTGGGTCCACAAGCCCCAGTCAAGCCTTCAGATGACTGCAGTCCTGGCCAGCATCTTGACCACACCACCTCGTGAGACCCCAAGCAAGAATCATACAGATAAACCTCTCCTAAACTCCTGCACCACAGAAATCATGTAACATAATGCTCATCATCATCTGAAGCCACTAAACTTCAGGGTAATTTGTGATACAGCAATAGATAACTAATAAAATACCTAAGACCTGACATCCCTTCCTGATGCATCAGATACTGTTAATAGACATCTGTGGTGATGATCCAGGCTGTCCTCTATTAGGAGACAGTGAAAGGCACAGAAGGTTTTTTCATCCTATTCAAGAACATTAAAATAAACATCTATACTGCTCTTCTGAGTCATCCATCTATCTATCAGGACGACACACCCTCCTGACTTCCAGATGGTTGCAACTTTATTGTATATAGACAAACTTGGGCATGATTTTCAATAACAGCATTGAGAATGTGGGCTAAATTTATTGTCCTAATTATCATTTCAAAATATTTATGGGACAGGCTTCGTGGTTTTCTGTTGCACAGCACATGCCAACACTAATATTCAAAACTGTAGCAATATCAAAATGGTGTTTTTCTCCCAAGAAAGGTGTTAGTGGGTAACATTACTTCAGTAATGAGTAAATCACTTCAGATTAGTTATTCAGTTTCAGAATCTATTTGATCACATTGCTACAAGGAGGAGAACTGAATAAATCTTGGCTCCCATGTTACTGTCAGAAGGGCAATGTCTGGGAGTCTGGAGTAGTGGAGTTCTTTTGGTGTTAGCTTTTCAGCAAGGAGTGCTTTCTAGCTGTTGGCTGAAAAGCATGATTCCTGCATGTCAGGGTGAGGCTGGGAGCCACTCGGGAGAGATCTCAGACTTAGCCGGGGACAACCAGCCCCCTCAGCAAGGTGGTGGGTTCATCCTGGACAATCTCATGACCCTTCATCCTGCCAATGGTCATCCCCTGCAACTGGCTGGAGACACTGATGTCCAATGGCTCTTCCTCAAGCACAGTGGCTCTCTGCAAAAGTGCATAGCACTGAGTTTGCCAGGGCAAACCCCTGGATGGGTGTTAAAAGTTCTCCCCAAGGCAAGCCCAAGGTTCTATCTTCACCCAGAAGTATGACAGGCTCTTGAGTTCTCGTCTCCCCAAAAACTTGATGCTAGATTTTTCCCACCAATTCCTTCCCACAGTCACCACACACAGATTTGGGGGCATTTTTGTTTCCATTACAGAAAGTTTAGAAAACACACCTAGGGCCAGCCCTGTGGCTTGGTGGTTAAGTGCGTGCGCTGCAATGCTGGTGGCCCGGGTTCGGATCCCGGGTGCGCATCGAGGCACCACTTCTCCGTCCATCCTGAGGCCGAGTCCCACATACAGCAACTAGAAGGATGTGCAGCTATGACATGCAACTATCTACTGGGGCTTTGGGGGGAAAAAATAAAATAAATAAAATCTTTAAAAAAAAAAAAAAAAAGAAAACACACCTAAATAGGAGAGAAACGTCCATTCGTACCACCACTCAAATACAACCATTATTCCTGTTTTGGTGTGTTTTCCTCCATCTTTTTTTTCATATGTTCTTTTTGTTTTTGTCTGACATAATCATGATCATACAGTACATACAATTTTCTATCCTGTCTTTTTCCACTCAACTTTGTAACATGTTTACTTATTAATTCATACCTTGAGTCTCTCCAAAAATTACTGGAGATGGCTTACACTAGAGCGTAAGTATTCTGTCCCCCCCTTGTTACAAATTACTTGTAAACATCACCTGGAACAGCTGAATACCTTAAGCTCCTTGAGAACAATTACCCCATCTCAACTGCCTTTGACCCGCAGCACCTGGTCTAGGAATAAATAACTTGCATTTTCACAGTTTGCTAAGGGGATTAATATAATTTACCTAAGCACTCTCCTAGTATTGGTAAGTTTATTATTTCCTAATTTCACGGAGAGCTGCTTTGGAAAACAGTTCAGCAATTTCTCAGTTAAACATAGAGTTTCCATGTGACCCAGCAATTCTAGGCCTAGGTGTATACTCAAGAGAAATGAAAACATATGTCCACACAAAAGAACGTCCATACTGGCATTATTCACAATAGCCAAAAGGTAGAAACAACTAAGGGCCATCAACTGATGAATGGATAAATAAAACATGGTCTATTCCTACAATGGAATATTAGCCATAAAAAAAGAACGAAGTACTGACACATGCTACAACATGGATAGATCTTGA